TACAGTTTTCTTCGCTGTCGAGTTTCAGGGCAATTAATTGATCGAGATTCGTAATCCATGGACAAAGACTGAATGGAAGGGTAAGCAAAACCGCTCACTACTGCACTTTTTTGTGAACTGTTCCATTGACTTGTGTACGGGGTTATTTCACTTTGTAGAGCGATGGTCAGATACTAGCGACTATTGGGTGTCTTATGCTAAAGATAATATCGTAAAGATACCGATAACAGGCTCGGAATATTATAATTATTCAGTCATTGGCGATGATTCTTCCTCATTTGACGACTTTTTGAACGAATACCGATTTTATAGAGAGTTGCGAGTACCCATTGGCAATTGGTAAGTGTTATTTAAAACGACCTGGTTGCTTTACTTTACAGGAGATGAAACTTCTTAACTGGATTACTCCTTAATTATAGCCACATTCTCCAAGTCTGCCAGCATTTCAACAAACAGTCTTGTGGCATGACAGCTATGAGATTTATCACACGGATAAAGGAAACATGTCAGACCCGTCGAATGTAAAATTGATTTTCGAGAGCCCTGACGGGACGGCTATTAAGGTCAAAGGCGAGGGAAAGGATGAGAAGGGCGCTTATACTATTGTCAACGGCAGCTATGACAGCGTATTGAAAACAATACCAAGCAGTACAAAAGCAATACCAATGCGGTCCGGTACTATCAAGGCAGATGTGATAACTATTCTCTGGGAAGTGGACATCGATGACAAGTTCAGTACTGGTTATTTCTTTATTAGGCGGACTTCTGTTGTCGAAAATCAATTCCGGATAATGGATTGGATGAGGAATCAATCGGAGGGGATGTGGCGTGGATTTTACTTTGATGCAAACAACAATGTCTACATGATTATAAGCGGCAAGGACCAAAATACCCCTGGCTCTGGCGCAGATGTACGTGGTGCGTTTACCATTGATTGACATGTCTCAGATAGGGTCGACCGGCTTCACCCAGAATTACGGCAAACGGAAGTAGTGACTGATTACATATTAATGACTCAATACTACTATTATCTGCT